TCTCTCTTAGGATTTCGGCATTACACTACTTCTTATTTTCCGGTCACTTAGAATTTTGATTTACATTTTCTTCTTTTGTTTTTGAGTATTTTTGTTCAAGCCTATAATGACGGAAAAATTTCTAACATTATCAATGTCCTCATCAATTCGAGGATTTTTTTCAATACATTTTCTTTACTATTTAACTTTGAATTTCCCTTTCATACAAATAAGGAATTCCTTCGTAGGATCGATTTTTGAAAAGATTTTTTGTAAGATTTCTACGAGAGTTCAGACAGAAAGCAAGGCCAAGAAAAAACTATGGTTACTTGAGAATTGATGCTGTATCTTCAAATTATATATATATATCTATTAGCAAAATTCTGTTAGAAATTAATTTCTTACCATTGACAATACTTTTTTCTTGATTTCCAAAGCATTCTATAATAAAATCATTGGCAACTATAATAAAGGCTGTTCCAATAACTTGGACCGATTTCAAATGTGAATTAAGTTTAAGCGCCTAATGATTTTTTTTCTTTTTCTTTCAGATTTAACAACTTAAATGTTTGGACATTTCAACCATGGAAAGATTAATAATTAAACATGTTAAAGTTATCGAAGCCTATTACGAAAATGAACGTTCAAACAGAATTTGAATGAGAAGTTCCCAGGTCGCATCATCTCTCGAAACAGCCAAGTCAATTGGCCACCATGATCATGAGACTTGACGCCTTTAGATTTCTTCCTTTGGGGTCATTTTAAAAGTAAGGTCTATGCCAACAAGCCAACAACAATTCAACAGCTGAAGGATGAGATAATGAAGCATATTGGTGAGATCGAGGAGCAATTATGCAGAGACGTCATCAAAAATTTTGACCATCGAGTGGAGGTGCGCCGCCGAAACCTTGGCAAATATTTGGGCGATATTATTTTTCACACATAATTGCCATGACTTAAATAACATGATCCAACAGAGAAATAAATAAATTTTCACCAATAACACTGATTTATTTACTGCTGTCTTTGATTTGTCTTAATAAAACACCTTTTATATAGCATAGACGTTTTCTTCCAGTGCCACATTGCTTAACCAAAATATTTATTTTGTTATAATACCCGAATTATTTCATTGATTAGTATGGAAATTGACGAGCAACAGAGATGTGGTTCTACAGAAAGATGATGAGGATTTTATGGATCGAACATGTGAGCAAGAACGAAGTTTTAGAGAAAATGGAAACAAAAAGGAAAGTTATACTTAACACCAGGAAGAGACAGTTGCGATTTCTGGGGCACATAATGAGGAAAGAGGCCTTGGAGAATATGATACTCACAGGACAGATTGAGGGCAAGAGAAACAAAGGAAAACAACGCAGGGCATACTTAATAAACTTGAGTAAATGGATGGCAAAACAGGGTTTATGAGAAATAACAGAAAGACAAAATCGATTAAGAGCTACAAGGAATAGGAAGTTGTGGGGAGCCATGATCGTCTACTTCCTGAAGGGACACAGCACGTAAAGACAAAGAAGAAACAAGAAAAGCTGTTATTTTTCAGTTACTTATCTTTAAACTCCTTTCAAAAAAAAAAACGATACTTTTGTTGATCAGCTTTGAATATGGAAGGGCGATTTTCTTAAGTCAGACAGTCATATCATGGAAACTATGGTGCAGAATTTTCATATATATATATATATATATCATATTTTATATGGGGATATAAATTTTATACATATACAATTATAGAAGATACATGAAATAATACAAAAAAACAGAAAGAGACAGAATATTATGATCATTTGGGTTTTGACAAATGTTTAGAAGTGACAAAATGAAAAAAATGGATCGCTTTTGAATATATTTTTTGTAAGATTTCTACCTAAGTTCAGACTCATGAAGACACTATGGCGATCAGAACCAATATATATATATATATATATATATATATATATATATTTATATATATATATTGAATTGTTTTGTCTACACCAAAAATTAAATAAATATTTATCTCAACTGTAAGTAATCGCGCGCATATATGTTTGTTGTTCTTATTTAGTTCATTTTCACATCTATGTATGTATGTATGTATGTATGTTCATGTGTATGTATACAAACAAATTTGTCTCCGTTCAGCATGGATAATTTCCATCAAAAATGATTAAAAAAAAAAAACCCACTAAACTAATTGATTTTTCTATTTTTTTCCATGTTTTCAGATAAGATGTTTAGCCATCTTGACATAACTTGTTAAGAATACAGAAACCCGGTTATTATATTCAGCTAGAAAGAGAACAGGTGAAAATAGTTTTGTTTCAGCCCCACTATGTCTTCCCCAACAGAAATGGTCAGAGGAAAAAGATCATTCCGCCTTCAATAATTTACCAATATTCATTCTTTCATCTTCAAAGTCCATTCAAGAACTATTAAGAGAATATGTCATGTTTAAAAAAGAGTGAATACAAATGAAATCTGGGTCAGAAGGTCATAACAGCAACAAATCTTAGAGCTACCATATCGAGTCCAATAGTTGTTCAAATTCTCGTAGAATATCTTTTAATCATTTCTAAGATACATCAAAAACGACAATTTTGTTGTTACTAATGATTTGGGATAGTTTTGCTGCTACTTCCTGGTATATAGTTAACTTCTGTTAAAGCTTGCAAATTTATGACCATTGAGAATCCTTTTCATTTTGATTTTCAACATTCTATTTCATTCTCTCTAATGATTACATATATAATATATATATATATATATATATATACAAATATATATAACACTTTCATTTTTCCAGTGCCACATGGCTTAAATTTCTTCTGAAATATTTCTTTCCTTTATATATACAGAAGTAGAGATAGCTGAAAATTTAATAACATAAAAAAATAACATATAAAATTTAACCTTTCTACAGAAAAAGTTATAAAAGCTAGTGTGACGAGAAAAAACCTTTACATACAAATCACAAAATGAAAAAATTATTAAATTTTATGAAAAGAAGTGTTCAAAAAATTGACAACAGAAGTCAAAAAAAATAATAAAAACAATTCAAAAAACCTGAAGGGCGATTTTCAAATATTCACGGTAAATTCAGATTTTTACAAATTTTACTTTTCCTTGACAGATTTTGCATTAAAACGTAAGATACATATTACTTTGATCTAGGGATATAAATTCCGAAAGGATACTTTTATATGCAACGTTTCAACTCAGGACGTAGGCGATCGCGGCTCTCCACAATTTTCTGTCATTTGGAGGTTTTAATGAATTTTGTCTTTTTCTTATATCTCGTAAAGCTTGTTCCGCCATACATTTACTCAAGTTCACTAAACAAATACGTCAACACTATCATTCTCTCTAATGATTACATATATAACGAGGAGGATTTATTAAACAAATACATCAACACTTAAATATTCTCTAATGATTATATATATAACGAGGAGGATTTGCAAATACATCAACACTTTCATTCTCTGTAATGATTATTGCATAACGATAGGATTTGTTAAACAAATACGTCAACACTTTCATTCTCTGTAATATACACGAATAGGATTTAGACTTCTCTAATGATTACATACATAATGAGTAGGAGTTATTAAAAATACGTCAACACTTTCATAAAAGAACATATTAACGTTAGGATTTATTTCAAATCGTGAAAACTTCCTTTCTCTAATCTTATATTAACGATTGTATTATGAATTCCAGGCGACAAATTTTAATCTCTTTCAGAGCAGCGTAGAATAAACATGCTAGACAGTAGTAGATCTGATAAATCTTTCAAGCTCTTTGACCATTCAACTCTGTCCATGCTATGTTCCGGTAATTTTTGAACTTTAAGGGGTGGTGTCATATCATGGAGTCACAAATTGTCGAGTGATAACATCAGATACGCAGACCATATCATGTTGATAGCAGAATGCAAACCGTTAAAAAAAAATGGTCGGTGACACCTAGTGACCCCATTGGTTTGATGGTAGACAATCATTACAGGTTCAATCAAAGTCTCCGGTTCACGATGTCGATTCGATTCCACTTTCTAGCCAAGTTGTGATATTTTTGATCCTGGTGAACAATTAGCAAATCGTAGATACCGGAAGATTCAGCTGGTCTACCTTGCAAATTCATTGGGGGCGAGAATCGGGCCTAGCAGAAAAATCGAATATGAACAAGTCGATTCGAGTCCAAAGAAAAATTTATGTTTATGTATATAAGGAAGAAATTGGTACAAAAAGAATAATGCTTTTTTTACAAGAAAGTAGTGTATATGAAATAAAGTCAAGAAAAAATCCCAAAAGAACCCCCCCCCCCAAAAAAAAAAAAAAAAAAAAAAAAAAAACAAACAAACAAAACAAAGAAATATTGCAAATAATTCTGAAAGGAGAGAAGTAGTTTTCGGATTAACCCTTTTTTTTCTTACTGCTTGCCGTAATTATTTCACTGTCAGGATATAAGGGGGTTCACTGGCAGTATTGCGCCAATATTGCAGATAACTTGAGTTCACTTCCTCCCTTATTACAGCACTCACTTTCACTCTCACTGCCTATATATCTGTCTCTATCTGGTCGACTGCTTCTGAACCTACTTCACCCAGCTCCAATTCCAACTTCGACTTCAACACCGACTGTTTGTTTTCGCACAAACATGCGCTTAAATAAATTAAATAAGCGCGGTGGTAGCAACAAAAACCCGGGGTGTTGATAAACTTAGAATACAACCTGATTACTGACCTCTCCCTCTTCATGATTAAATGAAAAATCACTTCTCAATTGGTATTCCATAGTTCATATAAACACTATTGTTTTGATATTTCATATTAATAATTCTGACGAAGCACAGATTCTCTGGGCACAAATTTCACTACAGATTATTTTAATCATCTATAAACAAAATTCTATATTACTATAATTATAAATATTTCAAGGGTGACCATTGCTCTCTGTCACAGCACTATACACCGGTAATTTTTTGAAGAGGTTAAAAATCATGCACAATTTTTTCTCTAGTGTTTATTATTCCCTATAAGTGAGTGGACATGGGAGAGAGAGAATGAGGGAACGTAGAGAGAAAGAGGTTGTGGGAGAGAGTGATTGGACATGGTAGACAGAGAGTATGTAGGATAGAGGGTGTAAACATGGGAGAGAAAGAGAAGACATGAAAGAGTGGAAGAGACTGGACTTGGGAAAGAAAGTGAGAAAGTGAACGTGGGAGAGAAAGAGAGAGATAGCACGTTGGAAAAAGGTGAGGACATGGGACATAGGATTTGAAAAAAGCGGACGCGGGAGTGAAAGTGAAAGTGAAAGAGAGAACGTGAGATAGAGAGAGTGGAAGTCGTAAAGAGAGAGAGAGGGGATGGGAGAAAGAAAAGGGTTGATAGATAAAGAGGATGTGGGAGAGAGGAGTAGACGTGAGAGAAAAAGAGAAGATCTGGAAGCGAAAGAGACGCGGGAGAGAAAGAGAATACGTAGGAGAAAGAAGAGAAAGATAGATAGATAGACAGAGAGAGAGAGAGTGTGTGAACTTTGGAGAGATAGAGAGAGATAGGACTTGAGAGAAATGTAGGGCATGAGATAGAGGATTTGATAGAGAAAAAGTAGAAGTAGAGAGAGAGAGAGAGATGATGTGGGAGAGAGTGGACGTGGGAGAGAAAGAGAGCGAGAGGACGTGGAGATTGAACGTGGGAGAGAAAGGGTAAGAGAGGCCGTGGGAGGGAGTCCATGTGGTAAAGAGATAGAGATGATGTGGGAAAAAGAGAAGGGTTGATAGAGAGAGGGAATGTAGTAGAAAGGAGTGGATGTGAGAAAGAAAGAGAAGACCTGGGAGAGAAAGAGACGTGGGTGAGAAATAGAATACGTAGGAGAGAGGGAGAAAAAGAGAGAGAGGGGGGGAATTTGGAGAGAAAGAAGAGATAAGACGTGGGAGAAAAGGGGGACATAAGAGAGAGAGAGAGAAAGAGAGGATTTGATGGATAAAAAGTAGAAGTGGGGAGAAAGATAATGTGGGAGAGAGAGTGGAGGTGGGAGAGAAAGAGATTGAACGTGAGAGAGAAAGAGAAAGAGAGGACGCGGTAGGGAGTGAGTGGACGTGGGAGAGAAAGTGAAAGAGAGGACATGGGCGAGAAAGAAAGAGAGTGGACGTGGGAGGGAAAAAGATAGAGAGGCCGTAGAAGAGAAAGAGAGAGATTGAACGTGGGAGAAAAAGAGAAAGAGAGGACGTGGGAGGGAGAGAGTGGACGTGGGAGAGAAAGTCAAAGAGAGGTCATGGGCAAGAGAGAGAAAGAAAGTGGACGCGGAGGGAAAGAGATAGAGAGGACATGGGTGAGAGATTGAACGTCGAAGAGAAAAAGAAGAAGAAGACGTGCAAGGGAGAGTGTGGAAGTGGGAGAGAAAATGAGAGGATATGGGAAAGAGAGGGAGAGAGAGGAAGAGAGGACGTGATAGGGAAAGAGATAGAGAGTGGATGTGGGAGAGTGAGGAAGAATAAAGGTGAACTGATGAGATCGAAGCAGACACGCGCAAATCTCCTGCTTTGTGCGCGCACGAAACAGGATCAACTCGACGGACGTCTCGTGCCAGATTTAATACCTTCCTCTTGGACATACTTGACTGGCTCACCTCATTTAGACGATTACAATTATTGACGGACACACACAGAAGAAGCAAAGAGTCTGACCTTTGCTGTGGTGTCTTGTGGTCACGCCGAAGTCATTGTGAATACCTGACACGCGCGCGCACACACACACACAAACGCATACGCCTATGGCGATTGCAAATTTAACAAAAGCAGTCTCTTATTTGCACAAGTATTAACAAACACACAAATATGCACAAACATGTAACTATCACTTAGAAACATTCAAACAACATACCCCAAGGTAATTTATACGGGTAGCGTCAGAAGTGCATCATGATTTTAAGATATTATCGGGTATCTATCTGTCCGTATAAAAAACTGCTATCTTATTGTCCGTATAAAAAAAAACTGTTATCTCATTGTCCGTATAAACAAAATGCTATCTCATTGTCCGTATAAAAAAGAACTTTCTCATTGTCCGTATAAAAAAAAAACTGCTATCTCCTTATCCGTATAAAAAACAAATTATCTCATTGTCCGTATAAAAAACAAATTGTTATCTCATTGTCCGTATAAACAAATTGTTATCTTATTGTCCGTATAAAAAACAAAACAAAACAAAATAAAACAAAAACAAACTGCTTTCTCATTGTCCGTATAAAAAAGAAAAACTCTCACGTACGTATAAAAAAAAGATTGCTCTCTGTTGTCGCAGTGGTGGCTATTGTAATAATCTTTCTATGTGCCGGGTCCTTTCATGACTTATGCGATCATATCTCTCCACAATTTCTTATCCTATGTTGCTCTTAATAAATTGTCTTTTTACCATGCATCCTACTCCCGTACTGACATCCATTCTCATAATCTCGTCGGGTAGGTGGCTTGCTACCTTCACTTGTCTCTTATCCTGTGAGTGTCAAATTTCCCATAGCTTCTTTCATCATTATGTGTCCATAAATTCCAGCTGTCTTTTTTCTGATTCTAAGTATGACAGTTGAAAAGATGCTGGAAAAATATTCGATTCCCTCTACTTCTAAAGTAATTAACTGCCCCCCTCCTGATATTCCTCTGTCTCTACAAAAACCAGATAGGACCAAATATGGAGTACTTCTGCCATATATGGGAAGGCGCTGCCAATTGTTCATTTTCCGGTCTAGAAAAAAAAGTTGTCTACACATTCTTGTGAGTGATGAATTATTTTCTACCCTACAACACTTTCCCCAGAGATGAAAAGTTGCAATCCTTTCGCTAATTCCATGGAAAGTGTTCACATAAACTACATTCCTTAGTTCCACCAGTTCTAACTTTCACGGCTAGGACCACGCCCATTGTGGCAAACCACTTTGAATTTCATTGGTGGGGTTCATTCGAGCAGCTTCTTCTCAAGAAACGCTACTTTATCGAACTGACTCTGCTTTTCCGATCGCTACAACCTTAATCTGTTCAAGTCTAGGGTTAACTTATTTTACCCACATATCCGTATAAACCGTACCTCTGATTCTATAAACCTTTAACTCGTGTGGCTCTCGAGCCTTGTACAGGGCGAAAATTATATTTTATTTAAAAATCTTCCTCGTTGCTTACAGGCTTCGTCCACGATATTCTATTGTATAACCATGCTTCTGTTGCGCCAAGTATTCTCTTCAATTTTGAAGAAATTGTCCAGTATTCACTGATACATAGGATAATCGATATTATGTAGCAGTTGCGTACTCTATTCTTGACTTCTAAAGAAATTTTCCTGTTTCTTAATACCTTGTTTAGGTTTTAGAAAGCATATTTTGTTGACCATGTTTGCCGTAGTCTTTGAATATAAAATCCAGTGAAGTACGTAATGTGTTCAATATCAGAAGTTGGCAGTGAAGATTCACAGAAAGTAGCAGCTGTTAAGTAATTCTTTAAGTCTTCGATATCAGAGGTTGGCAGTGAAGATATTTTTGGAGAAAAAACAAAATGGCTGCCTTTATACACGTCGCATTGAATATTTTGAGCTTTCTGATTGGTTAACCCTTCTCTTGGTGGATTTTAAAATGAGTCAGCTCATTTTGGCTAGCTCACTAGTACACCAGGGTACCCCAAAATTCCAACATATTTTTCTATTCCAATTTTGGGTTTCAGTTTTCCATTTTCAGTTATCTGTTAAAACACTTTCCGTATATTTAAACTTTTTGTACTTTATAGATTTAGCCATTTCTATTTCGTAGTTTGCCTTCTGGTCCTTTTTTGTTGCTGACAACCATCCATTCTGTGTTCTTACAATTGGTGGTTAGACATCCGTTACTTTCTGTGGTAGACTGGTTGGCAACCAAGGCTATAATCAAAGTCTTTCCTGTTATTTAAAACATAGCTGGGACAGAAGAGATGGATTCATATCTTTCCCAAGAGTATTTGAACTCGACTCAAATTCGAACTCGGCTCTCGGTATTTTTATTCCGAGCCGTTATTCACCGCACCATCTGCCCACTAAAGCTTACAATACCTGGTATTCTCAAGCGGTCGCTCATCTAGGTACTGATCAAACACAACGTTGCTTAACTTCGGTGTTTTGACGAGAAACGGTGTTTCAACGTGGTATGGTCGTAAGCTTTGCATAATTTATAAAATATATATGTACATCGTAATCACGATAGGACATACCTTCACAAAGGTAAATTGAAAGTGATAGCCATTAGTTACCAAGGAAGCAAACCCTCATTTTCATGTGGTCATTCCGAGAATTATATCATCAAGCACTAATATACGTAGCATTTTTACCAGTTTTCACACAAAATATTAATCCGCGGACACATATTCTTTTCATTCAATTTCCGAACACATACAACTTCCGCTACTGCTCGACAACGAATGACTCATCTAGTTTGCGTCCCAAGAAAGCTTAAGTTGAAACATGCGTGCTGCAAGGAAGTTGAAATATGCCTGCCGTTAGGGTAATAAATCAAATGTTTTGTCTGATTCATTACCCTAAAAGCACGCTGTGATCATTCACAGAATTAAATTGTCACAGCTCGTTAACAAATTTTACAACGACAATTTATCATTTGTCCTTGAACGTGTTAGAAATATCAAGTGCTCTCTCTTGTTACGGTTGATATTAAGCCTCATTTTATTCGAGTGCATAATGTGGTGTCGAAAGAGAAGGAGAAGAAAGGATAATTTTTTTCTGGTTTCACATCGTTTGGGTCAAAGAAGTTTGCAATTATATATTTTTTACATTTTTTAATAAGACTCTTAACATTGCTAACATATTCAAGCATTAACATCTAGTCATCTTGATGTAGTGGTTGGTAATAAGAATTGGTAACTTCGGAAAAGCTCGGACATGTCCGTTTCCCGGCAAGAACTCTCCCCGATCTCAAGCGTGACTGTTCTTATAGACCAGCACGTGGATATACCCTATTCCCGGTTTTGTTGCCACTTGATTCCCGAAAATCCCTCATCCACCCTTTTACTTAGTATTCCCCTTCGGTTAAATTTGATGCCGCCTGCAAGTCCGGACTTTAAAATGAACCATCCCCCGGTTTATTCAAACAGAAACACTTCATATCGAGATAAAAGTACCTCTTCTCTTTTTACGTCGGTGTCCATAGTATCACACACACACACACACACACACACACACACACACACACACACACACACAGATATATATATATATATATATATATATATATTGTTTTCATTGTTGTGGTGACGGATACAACCATTTTCTTTTGATTTCTTGATATAGTTGTAATAATAATAATCTTAAAATAAACTACAAACACTTCTAAAACCATTATGGATATAATCAGATCCTCCAGCACTAACAGCAATAATGTTTCTGAAGCAGGCATTTATAAAAAGAAGTGCCAAAACTGTTCCTCGCAAAAATATTGGAGAGACAAACAGAAATAAAAAAAAACGCATCTATGAGCACAAAAGAGACCTCACAAATAACAACTAATGCACTAGTAATATATAGGAATAAGTTCAACCAAAATTTTGATTTTAAAAATGCTGCACTCATAAAAAAAAAAAATAACTGACACAGAAAGAAAATCCTCGAGAGTGCCGCCATTGAATATTATCCAAATATTAATATACGCCCAGTTTTTTTCCCAATATCACCTTTCCTAACAGAACTACTACTCCCACAAACTAACGCATACAACATATATATCTATATCTATATATATATATATATATATATATATACAGTGTAATCCGGATATAAGAGACCCGGATATAAGAGAAACCCGGATATAAGAGAGATTTTCTCTGGTCCCAAATTAGAGTCTGTGTTAATGTATATAAATTAGACCAAACTCGGATATAAGAGAAACCCGGATATAAGAGACTTCTTCTCCGGTCCCGACAACTCTCTTATATCCGGGTTACACTGTGTATATATATATATATATATATATTTGTGTGTGTGAGAGAGAGAGAGAGAGAGGGTGTAGTTTAAATTTTACTACATGTGTAGATGCTGACCGTCAAGCCTGGCACCGCACTGTCCACCAGGCCGTCTACACATTTGATGATTCTCTCAGGGCCAACCTGAAGGAGACACCCCGCGGGAGGATGGGACCGGGAAGTCTCAGAACCAAATACCAGACCTGACCTTTAATTGCAGTCGCTGCGGCCGAACATGCCTGTCCCGTATCGACTTGGTCAGCCATCAGCGTGCCCGCAGTCGACGTGAACAGCCCACTTCATAAATCTTCGTCCGCGAAGCCAAGCCAAGCCAAGAAGAAGACATTTGTAGAGGAAGAGCCCTTAATATAGGTTATATAGCGTATGTAATTAGACCGATGAAACTAGTGTTGATTTCTGTGCCCACACTGTATTGTACTAGCAGTTTCACATCACAAGTGATCATCAGTTACTCACATGGTTCATCCATGATATTCCTAACATCCTTCTGTAGAACGACATCTCTGTTTTCCAAAGTCTTCTCGTCACCTGTGAGGAAATTGACCAACGTTCGCTGTCATATTGGAGGACTGACATTACATGGCATTTCAATACATTTTTATTTGTTTCTCAGGAAAATTTTACGTTTTATTTTCTTTAATATTACAGTAAGACAATGAGAATTCCATGGACGGAGTGAGTAAGCAAAAAGGAAGTCTTGAAGAAAATTTCAACAGAAAGAACACTTCCATTCGTAATCAGGAAAAGGAGGCGGAAGTTCCTTGGTCACATTATGAGGAAGGAGGGCTTGGAAAATTTAACCTTCACGGGGCATATTGATCACAAGAGAGGTGGGAAAACGAGCCATTTACTCGACGAGCTTGTGTGAATAGTTGGCAGAACGTGGGTGGGAGCAAAGAGAAAAAACATGATCGAAAGTTGTGCAATGCCATGATCGCCAATGTCCTGAATAGGCGAGGCAGATAGAAATGGAAGAAGTGTAAAAAATAAAGGTTGCTGCCCAAATATTCTATATCTATATATATATATATATATATATATATATATATATATATATATATATATATATATATATATATATATATATATATATATATATATATATATATATATATATATACGCTAAAATTCACCTTCATCCCAGCTGTCCGGTGACAGCTTAGTGGCAGAATCTCCGACTAACACTTATTCAGTCTAGTTTCGATCCTAGCTAGAGGCAACTGGGTGTCTAGCTACACGGAAGATCTGCGCAAAAGTCTGTCTATGGATGACTTTATATATATTCAGGGTATATCAAAATACTTTTACAAAATTTGGGGGCGCGTTCCTCACACCAAAACAAGAACAACAGTCCACATAAACATATATCCTCAATTCCTTCTTTTAAGTTTAAAGGAAGTTTATGGTAGATGGCGTTGTGTTGGCATGTAGACTAGGTTACATTTGTCATTCGTGTACATTTGTGGTTAGACTGTCTTCAACGTTTTGTGTATGTGGTAGTGAGTCAACTGAGAAGTGTTCCGTATAACAACGGCAGGATATTCGTATCGCTTGCAGGCAATATGATTTTTACAAACGGTCGCGCGAATGGTAATGGACATGAGGCTGCATGGATGTATCCGATTGCGGTTCAAGACCGAAGACAACCGAGTCACTCAACTGTTGTTGTTTATCGTCGCGTTGCTAATACAGGATCCGTGACACCACAAAATATGTCTCGAGGAAATCTGCTAGTACGCCTGACCACGAAGCATACATTTTACAGGCTGTCAGAGACGATCCGCGTATCAGCAGACGTCAAGTGACCCTAGCATGTACATCTCATAGTACCACATGTAGGGTACTTCAAGTGCAGCTCCTGTATCCGTATTATTTGCAACGTGTGCAGGGTCGTTCACTCTCTGATCACTCACCACAGGAGAACTTTTACCGATGGTTTATTGCACAAACTGCTGATCCGTTGTCTGTCTCTTCAGTCTTGATTATGGATGAGGCAACATTTGGAAGACATGGAATAACAAATTTACACAACCAACATTTCAGAGCGGATCGGAATCCCCATGGTATAATACAGGCTAGACACCAGTATCAGTTTATGATTAATGCGTGGGCTGGAATTGTATGTGACTGTCTGGTAGGTCCATGTGTTCTCCCAGAACGTCTTACAGACGCTGCCTACAGGGATTTTATTTCAATCACACTTTCTGGCCTGCTAGAGGATGTACTTCTGCTAATACGTAGACTCAGGTAGTTCATGCGAGATGGAGCTCCAGCACATTTTAGTCACATTGTTCGTGATACACTGGCTGAGATCTACCGTGGATGATGGATAAGTAGGGAAGGACCGGTCCCATGTCCTGCATATTCTCTCGACCTCGTTGCTTTGGATTTTGATCTGTGGAGACACATAAAACATTTGTTTTAAACGGTAGACATTAATTATGCAGAGACGTTTCATCAATGTGTCATGGGGGCCTGCAAAATCTTTCGACACCGTGTGGGAGTATTTTAAAACGTTCAGCAGTTAATGATCCTACGGGTGCATGCGTGTGTAGAAGCAGGCGGAGGACAATTTGAACTTTTGTTATGAGTTGCTGTGTTGAAGTAGAACGATGGCCTGCCTTTTGGGCATATATACAGCGCTGTACGATAAAAGTGACTCATCTGATTTTTTTTTTTACTAAATGTTCTCTTCTCCGATGAAACGAAAGTTGAGCTAAATTCAAAGGATAAGCGATCTAAAATCCGAAGAAGAAGCTTTGAAAGCTCTTTGAATTTGGCAGTAAGTACTGTCAAGCATCCGTTCAGTATAATGTTCTGGGGATACTTTTCTTTTCATGGAACTGGTTTCTTAAAACCTATTGAAAAGACCCTCAGGAGCGAGCAGTACAAGAGAATTTTAGAGTCTTGTCTGCTCCCTTCTGCTGAAAGGGTGCAAATCGACCCCACCAAGCTCATTTTTATGCAGGATAATGCTCCCTGTCACAAATCAAAACTGATGAAGGAATATTTTGATGAGAAGCAAGTGAGTGTTATGACACGGCCGTCCCAATCTCCTGACCTCAACCCCATAGAAAACTTATGGAGCATTATAAAGTACAGGCTCTCGAGAAAGCAGCAGAGCAACAAAGGATTTGATTGTGAATTTCATATCCGAATGGAATTCA